ATTTGTCTGGAAGAAGTACAAGGAAAAATAGAACAATTGTGCTCCTGTAATTTTTGTGCAAGATATAACACCTTTTATTTTTATGCATTGATATTTTTGAGTAGTTTTCCTACACAAATGAAAGCTTTCTATGTTACAACTAAAGGTCGACTGATACCGATTTTTCAGAACCGATACCGATAACAGGCCACCTTTCAGACTGATAACCGATATCAGGTACCAATATCTTGTTTACATCCTGCTGCTCCAGCAGCTGAATGTAAACATCAGGCAGTAATTCCTGATATCAGTCATCCCCTGCTGAGCCTCCGCTTCCCCACAGCCCCCGGCCCCATTCATCTGTCGGCAGCAGCATTCCGCAAACTGGTAGCTGAATGTAAAAAGCAGGCAGTGGGCAGTGCAATAGCCAGCCTGCTATTGGCTTTTTCAAATTTTAATAGCCAATAGCAGGCTGGCTATTAAATCCGCCCACTGCCTGCTATCAATCAGCAGAGTAGTGGACCTAAAGAAGAAAGCTCTCCTTCAGACCTTCAGGTCCGCTCCTCTGCTGATTGATCCGTAGTGGCTGGGAACAATAGCCAGCCTGCTATTGGCTGTTTCAAATTGCAGTAGCCAATAGCAGGCTAGCTATTTCACCTACCCACTGCCTGCTCTCAATCATGAAAGGAGGACCTGAAGGAGAAAGTTTGGCCGTTGTCAGAATCCCCAAACAGGTCTGGTAGCTCAATGGTTGCCAGCTCTTTTCCTTCATAGATTTTCTGACCACGTCCTTTGATCAGCTGATTGAGGGATGTTAACCAGACAGCAGCATCCACTGTGCAAATTTCATCTGGTTCCTCAAGAGCTGGCTGAAATACACACAGTGTTTATTATCGGTAATATCTGTAAATTTAACTGATACCAGAAATGTATAAATTTGTGAATATCGGCCCCTGATTATCGGTAGATCCAAAAATTGGTTGGCCTCTTGTTACAACACTCATTAATAATAATTCAGCATTACTATTTTCTATACTCTTATGTCTGCTACCAGTAAGAAAATAAAACTAAACAAGTATGAACTATTGCTACAGTATAGATAATTGTTACTACAGTGTTGTTAGGGAAGAAATAAATGCTGATGGGTTTGCTAATTAGTACTATTATATCTGGATGTTTTTCTAGACAAATGGAAGTGTGGTATTCTGTCACACATATTGGTCCATGGTGAAAAACTAGCATTTTAAATTCACACATGATATTTCCAACATACTACTATAAAAAAAAGAAAGAAATAACAAGTGATTACCTTCCTCTCACTGCTGACAAAGATGTACTGCACATGTCCATACGCTATCCCAGATAGCAAGCAATTGAGCTGCAAGTTTGAAAATGACTTGCTAAACTATTGCAGACTTGGCAAGCTTCACAATTTTGTTGCACAATTACAGCAGTCTCCAGATCAACGTGCTTTGCAAAAGTGCTGTACACTTGCAGAGCTCTTGCTAAGGCTGGGTTCACACCTAGGCGTATCGAATATGCGCGTTTGTCTCGTGTTTTGTGATGCACGTTTTTACCGTGATTCGCGGTAAGAAAAACGCGCGACAAACGCGTGTTTCCGAGGGCTACCTGGCTGTATCCCAATGGATACGCGCGGCAAATACGCCCCAAAGAAGCTCCTGTACTTCTTTGGGCATAGGGCGTTTTGCAAAGCGCTGTAAAACACCCAGGTGGGAACCATGCCCATAGGCAATCATTGGTTTTCACATGTTGAGCGTTTTACAGAGCGTAGGAACGCGCTGTAAAACGCCCAGGTGTGAACCAGGCCTAAGACCTGCAGGACTCTTGCTATGGACTTGCCAAGCAACTTTGCTACAAATTCAAAAAGTATCAACTAGAACTTGTGCTGCGCGTGTTCTGCAAGTCTACAACTTGCCAGGGAATGTGTGCAGCAAGCTAACAAGAATTACAATTTAACCCTGCCACAAGTTTGTGGCAAGTTATCCTTGCTATCTGGGATATCGCGCACTACATTTTTTGGCATAAGCAACTTTGGCCAAATGATGACACAAGAACATGGATAACCTATGCACTGTGCTTAGTTACACAGTACTTTTTTGAAAGCTAGGCTTTCTTGTTAGAAATTCTGCTTCCCAAAACCAAAAAGCTGACAAAAATGTTTTTATTTTGAAGGTGAGGGCAACAAACTGTGTGTGAACTGATGTAAGTAAATACATAGGGCAGCTAGTAGAACTGGTGCGTTGTCTACTGATCTATCTAACTTATATTGAATATTGTATATCCATGCAGATTTGCAGAGGATGCTCACTTTACAAGTCTTCCTTAGTGTTTCAGCAAATCTATGGGCTGCTGCTGACTTTCCTGTACATATTGTATATCACTCAGATAACTGTCATTCTGTTAAAAATTAAATAATACAAATAATTACTTTTTTTAAATGCTTTCATCATATTTATGTTTTGGGCACACATTTGTCAACGTTTTGCATCATTTCTGAAGTGCGCAGTATTTGTGCCCAGCATTTGCGACATTAAAAACCCTCCAAACTGTCACATATTCTAGAAGTCCTCTTGAGCACTTCTTAAAGTGACATTAAACCCTGAGATGTTTTAACATAAACCAATACTGTAATGTGTGCCTTACTGTAATCCATGGTAGTTTCCCTTCTCTTTGCTGCTCTTCCTTTTAATCCTCATGTCTTCTCATGCTGGGGGAGAACTTCCCTTTGCAGCTGAGTGCCTCTTCCTGTAGTGCTGGCTCAGGTTGTGAACCTACACACAGACACCATGTATCCATTCCAGAGTCATGGCAGTCTGCTGCAAAACAGAAGTTCCCCCCAAGCATGAGAAGAGATACGGATTTAAAAGGAAGAGCAGCAAAGAGAAGGGAAACAACCATGGATTACAGTAAGGCACACATTACAGTATTGTTTTATGTTAAAAAATCTGAGGGTTTAATGTCACTTTAAGGTATCACAAAGATAACTCAGCTTCATACACTCAAGTCAGTTAAGCATGGGAAATTTGCAGTAATTTTAAGAGAGAATATTTGTTTCTGTTGTGCATGTACAATGTGGGCAATTGGTATCTGCCTGGACAATGTATACATCAGATTTATCTGTTATAATAAATGCCAAATCTGTTCCAGAATGGGTTGATAATCTAAAGAATGAGAAGTGTAGCGTGATGCAATCTACATTAGTTGTAGCCCTTTGGTGATGTCAGGGGCCGCAGATCAGGACCCCTACATTTCACAATGTGACTACTACTGCATTGCACACTTTGTCCTGAAAATGACTGTGGCAAATAACATGTTGACCCAAATAAAGTTCTAAAGTTTTGTCAGTAAAACATTCCTATGTGCAGGGGCGTTGCTAAATCCTGCCACCTAGGGCACGTGCCCTAGGTCTTCTTTTGAGTGTCCGAGGTTCCCTTTGCCATCAGCCTAGGTATGATCTTTTAATTTTGGTCATCCACTTTTACTGCCTACATTCTGCATTTCCCCCTCACAATTCCTTAGAATAATATTGGGTAGATAATTATAGAACCTGGTATTTTTAATTAAGTACTTGGTTTGTACATTTACCTGAACCTCACAATGCATATTCCCTATCACAAAACACCTACTGTACCTCCACGGTTCTTATTCTTTTGTAAAATGCAATAAACCGTTATTAAAAAAAAAAGAAGAAACATTAGACCGTTGATTAACAATGATATATATAAATTGCTCATTACACTTTTGGAACATTGTTTATCATCTTTTTAAATAATTTATTGTTTCTTATTCGTTTTAAGCAATATTATATATTTCATTTTTATGTTGAGTCATAGGCAACAACTTCACCAACTTTTTATCATGGTCTACTACAAACCCATTAACATTTTGGTCTAGGTGCCCAGGGGTGTCCCGGGTCTTTTGGGAACCCATGCGTATATTAAAACATATTTTATCTAAAATATGTATATGTACATATGTAAAGTGTTTATGATTTAATGGGATACATTGGACTAGCACATATTTTATAATATTTTAATGTCTTTCCGCAAAGCTGGCAATTTCTTTTTGTTTTTACTTTCTTTCATTTTAGAATGTGGAAAAAAAAAGTTTAAATGCCCTGAAAGCAGCACATTGTTATCTTATTCAAATTTGCAATGACTGACTGCCTAAGGCCTATGCAAATTCTCTGTGTTATCTGTTTAGTTTACCTGTGTGCTAAGGGTTAATGCTCATGGAGGGGAGGGAGGGGGGTCAGTGTCATTTGTATAAAATATTCCTTTTCTCCAACTGACTTCTGTCTCACCTGGAATACTGTCCTGAATGAAGACGCAGCTACAGGTCTCATCTGGAGCTGCCAAGTTAAAGTAAAATCTGGGAGGTTGTAAAGGTGAGGAAGTAGATGTGAAGGAGGCTGAGAGGGAAAGGGGGGGGGATCATGTGTTTTTGGGGATAGATGAGTGTAACTGGCAAGGAGGGTAGATTGAGTTCCTTTTAAGATTGATAGCCAATCCTAAAAACTCCATTGTGTGTGTCTAGTAAGTGTTTTGTATTGAGGAAAAAGCTGCACTTTATTGGCTAATTGCAACAGAGTGTTCTCCTGACTTTTTTGGAGGGTCTGCTTTTGGTATTCACAGTATTTTAAGCAATATTTATGTATTTACTAACTGGTCGGAAATTGACAGGTCATCTCTACTCCCGGTACTGTTTTGGAACAGACGATGCTAAGAAGACAAGATTTCATTTTTTTGGACAAAAAGGTTTCCTCTGTGTTATTTTCTTGGAGAGAGTGCAGAGAAAGGAACAAACTCAAACACATTTAAAGGGATGCTAAAGGTTCCGCCACTCCCTACATGATGATACTCCCTACATGATGAATATGATAATACCATGTGTACTCTTGAATTTGAAAGTCGAATGAATTTTATTATAATACAATGGTTTGTTTAGAAATAAACTATACCCATTATTGAAATCAGTTTTTTTCCCTTGTCATCTCCCAGATATTAACATGAGCCGTGAACCAGATTCCACAGAGGAACAGCAAAACGGAGGGGAACACTTACAGAATGGTGAGTTTCTGGACACACTAGGGGAATTTATGAATGTGTTTTAGACAAATTTTTTACTGGCAAAGATCAAAATGCCAAACACATGGAAGGTTTTTATCTCATGCTACTAAGTAATTTGTCCACTTGTTGGCAATCGCCTCATCTGCAGCATATTGATTACGTTATATTCCAAATAACTGTAAAGTTTTATCTCTGTTATGCATCTTTTTTTAGTGTTCTTCTGACTTATCTAAATCCGACATATTTATGTTTGCGACTCATTACACATATCTTACAAAGTTTTGCATAATTTTTCAGTTTTGCAGTATTTTTGCCCAACATTTGCGACAATAAAAAACGTCCAAACTGTTACATACTGAAGAAGTCCCCCTGAGCACTTCTTAAAATATCACAAAGAAAACTCATACAATCAAGTCAGCTAAGCACTTCAGAGATATTCAGCTATCATCCAGGAGGTTCCCACCAAGCTTACCACAATTTATAAATAATAATTGTTATGAAGGCTTTTAAGAATTAAACATAAACTTGGATAAGAAATCTTTCACTATATACACTAGAAATCAGGAGTTTAAAAGGTGCTGATGATGTGACCAAATTAATAAATTTCCCCCCAATGAGTGTGATTTACGAAAGAATTTTAGAATGTCCGCAAAATAAACAGTGTGGGGATTCACATTATTTATCCAATCATGTGAAAAGAAATCCCATTTAGAAAAGAAAATACTTAAACACTTATTTCATCTGAACATTATTGGATAATTGACGTGAAGATTTACACAATTTATTGTCAAAATATTCTTAAATTCTTTAGTAAAACAGCCTCAATAGCCGGTAGAGAGATCACTAAACCAAGCTTTGCCTACTTGGGGTGGGTTGGATTGGTTGTACCTGCTTTGAACTGTATCTTTTTTTTAATTTTGTATTTTAAATATGTTTTGTGGATATACTACAGAAGATAAACCTTTCAAATCACTAATGTACTTGAAGAGGAGAGGTTTTGTAGCTATTTAAAAGCTGTTAGAGTTAAAACACAGGGCAGATTTTTATCTCATGCTACTAAGTAATTTGAAAACTTGTTGGCAATCGCCTCATCTGCAGCATATTGATTAAGTTATGTTCCAAATAAGCTGATTGCAAACCAGCAGCATGATAATAAGAGTGCCTATGCAGTCTTGTTTTATAGATGTTAGTGAAGTTAAGCAGCTTGGATTTTGGACCAATATTACAAGAAAATATGTGTTCTTTGTTGAATAAAAAAAAGAAAATGAATAACTGATAAATGCAAAATATTAAAGTGTCAGATAAATTGGTATCTGGTGGTAAATCGATGCAGCAATAGACACCACATATTTCAATACAATTATGGTCAGGAGAAAGAAAATGTTTAACATTCTCAGCCAAGAAATAATATGTAGCTGAAAATGACAACAAGAAAAGTCTAATAGAATTTTTGGCTGGGGCTCAATTAAAATATTTAAAATTGCAAGCTTTGAGAGCACTATGTCCCTCTGGAAGTGGATCAGCAGCTTTTCCGTACCCTGTGACTGAAAGTATTATCTGTCAGCAAAGTATTGTGAGGATATGAAGCATCGGCTCCAGGCACAGGAAAGGGAGCTATGATACAGAAAGGGCTGCTAAATGTTAGGAGTTGGATTAGGTTAATGTCAAGGTTTGGAGTTCGGGGGGTTTAGTTTACTGTTATGGTAAAGTTTAGGGCTAGACTTTAGTTGAATAAATGTTGGAGGGTTACAAGTTAAGATTAAATGCTATTGTTAGATTTAGATTTTAATTACCTAGGCTTAGGTAAAATGGATCATGTGTCTGCGTGTGGGGATATTATGGCAATATTTTAGGAGTTAGGTTTAGGTCTCGTTTACATGGGGCTTATTGCCCCATGCAGTGTGAAGGGCTGTTTTTTTATCTGACCACAATGTATGCGTCTGAGGCCGTACACCATCTATGTGCTGCTGTCAAAACTCCGAGCTGTAGGAAGCAGCATGTGAGGGCACATAGCTTCTGTATCTCCATAGAGCTGCCCACGCGCTTCTTCCTGCAGCTCCACACGCATCAAAAACACAGCACGCCCCATGTGAATGAGGCCTAAGTAGAAGATGCAGTATGGAGGCTGCCATTGCTAACTTTCCTTTTAAAAATACTAGTTTCCTGTCTATCATGCTTGATCCAGTAGTGATTGCCTTATGAGTTATTGGAGTTGATTTGCTAAAGGCAAATAGGCAGTGAATGATCTGTTGAATTACATCATCCAATTAACTACAAGCAATATATATATTTTTTTCAATTCTCCTTGCATGTGCTTGGGTATTTTTTGCAAACCCAAATTTCTGCATATTCAGCTAAGGGAAAATTCCTTGGCAAAATTAACAACCTATTTGCTATTAGCAAATCAACCCCATTGACTCCAAGCAAGTATACAAAATTGATAGTTTATTGAAGCTCCAGAATGTGTGATTGTTCCAGATCAATGTCTGAAAGTATTAAAGCTAGAGACAGCCAGGTAACATATTGAGGAGGAGGCAGCAGTGGTAGTCTTCATATTTCTCTCGTTCTGGTTTCCTGTAAAGCCCAATCTAATGCTCAGTTTAAATCAAGTAAATATACCAAGTGCATCAAACAAAAAGTGCATCCCATAATGCACTAGTATGCTACTCTTTCCTTTTTCCAGCATTCCCCCACCCCCCAAATCTCTTCCTCTCACCCTATGCCCCCCCCCCCCATTTTTTTATTTTTCCTCTCTCCCCCTCTCCTCTTTTCCAGCTTCTTTCTCTCTGTGATACCTCACTTTTACCTGTGTTGTTCTCTAAGTTCCCTCCCACGATGTTCTTATTGCCCAGCATGCCCCTAGCAGGGAGCATGAGCTTTACTGATAGCAGAGCTTTAGTTTTGACTCAGCAGGGGGCATGTTAGACTTCTGCAGAGAGACCACTACTTCCATATGGAGGGCAAGGGTCTTCCTCTACATCTTGCTGGTAGGGGACAGGCCTTTCTTCTCACACTTTGACTGCTTCTTTTAAAGAAAATAAACTGTAAGACTTTGCCAGTTGACCGCCTTAAGGTGGACACACTGATTGACAATTATTCTGTTCTGGCTATAGGTTTGGTACTGAGTGTTCTAGATTTTGCTTGCCAGGTATGAAGATCCTAAAATTATTTATTTTTAACAGAAACAGACCATAAGAGACCTAGCCCAAACCCAAAGTTGTTACATGATATTTTAAACATGTCTAATCACATTATTTCTGGTAATAATATCTATATTCTAACTAATCAATGTTTTTTTATTGCCGTGCTTTTTCTAAAATAGTTCAAGGCATTTTGCTATATTTTATACAAAAAGAAGGGCTTTTTGTTTAAAGCAGGACTCCAGACACGGACATTTTTATATAATACACAGGATGCACGGTGTTCTGTGAATGGTTAAAGGAAGAGGGGCAGGGCCTTCCCTATAATGAGGCAGCCTCAGGCAGCATCTCATGGGGGGGGGGGGGGGGGGAGAGAGGGGAGGGGAAGAGAGGGAGAGAGAGAGAGAGAGG